AAGAAAGATTGAAATTGGAAAAAAATAGGAATTGTGAGTTGGTGAATCCCACATATTTCAAACGGTTGGTGACAAGTTTACATTATATGACTTCCACTATACTTGATATTGTTTTTGGAGTTAGCCTTATCAAAAAATACATGGAGTCTCCATGTCAATTTCACTTGCAGGCAGCTAAAAGGATTTTGAGGAATGTCAACCAGAGTGACAGTATTTTTTATTCACCTACCGGTTCTTGTAAACTTGTAGGGTATATAGACAGTAATTGGAGAGATGATGTGAAAAAAAGTACTTCAAGGTATTTTTTTTTTAAATCGATTCAAGAATTTTGTTTCCTACTCTTCAAAGAAACAACAAGTGGTATCAGAGCTAGATTAACGATCCTACTGGAATAATCAAAGCTAAATTGATGATCCTAGGAAAACAATCATAGCAAGATTGATGATTCTGGTGCAACAATCAAAACAAGTAGGTGATGATCCAACGATCAAGTTGGTGCTAATGTTGTAGAAGACTCTCCTACCACACGTGTACGATGTCGTGTGAATATTGATTTCGTCTTGCATACATTAAGGATGTAATCTCGGAATTTTTTTATAGTGTTTGGATCCACAAGAAAATAAGAATATTTTCATACTTATGGACTAATGATTCTAGTTGAATTCTTCAAGTTATGCAGTTTGCCAATAAAATATTTCTTCTAGATTTGGACTCTTGAGTTGTAGCCCTGTCAAGACAATGGTTTATGATATATTTTGCCGACATCTAACCAATATTGATTTGGTGTCTCGTAAGTTTACAAAATCATTGAGCTTTACCTTGATAAATAAGAAAAGCAATTGACCATTGAATTTTCCTAGAAGTAGATAAGACGCGAGTAAAGGTGCATAGAAGATGTAATCAAATCGCAGACTCTTGAAAGACAGAGAGGATTATGGCGACTCATAAGATCGCTTTCGAACGAAGTGTGATTTTACATGTGGTGCTTGAAGAAATTAGTGATTCAAAATTAAAGAGGAGTTGAATTCGATGTGGGTCTCGCATGAGGGGGAGTTTGTTGGGACGCCACATGTAGAGTCCCACATCGAATAGGAAAATTTTCTTTTTATAGGAAAATAGGAAAGAAGTTGAAAAGTCCTACTATTCCTTAAATAGGGTTTTATATAAATCTTCATTTTCATGAGAAATCAAATTTCATAGTTCTTCATGTCTTTAAATTTGTCTCTTCTTGAGCATTGTAAGGATTGTATCAAGGGGGATTTAAAGCTCCAAGTTGCATGTGAGGAACAATGACACACTCATGGAAGTTCATATTTGCATTCACAACAAGTCAAAAGATTTTTTTCTTTTTTCAATTGGAACAGCCCCTAAAGCTACATCATATTAGTTGACATAAAATGAGTAAATAGACATTACAAGCACCGAGACCCATGTCTCTAATCATTTGAGATTAAATATGACAACTCCTAAATTGGCTCTTACCTAGGACTCTTAGAATAATGATGACAAAGCCTCCATAGAGGAACATTAACTGTTAGTATGTGAAGACCATGTTCTTGCCTTTCCCAGTCTTCGGTACCTCACTCCACATCTTCCAATCATTTTCTAAAACCATATTGCAGTGTCAATCAAAAGCTCTAACATAACCGTGGGGCATCCGGTAGTTGTGATAATTAATAAGCACTCAAGTGTTATATTCCCATATCTATCCTCACACCATTTAACTCATTAATATAAAACTAATAACCCCATTTAATGGGGATAAAATAGCGATTGAATAAGTTTAATTTGAAGAATCGGGTTTCATTATTTCTTATAGTGTTAGTATATCAGTAGGAGAATATTTGTTTGAGTGGGGTGCAATTTGAGAGTTCAACTATGAAACTATTTTAGAATTTTGGTTGAAGAGTAATTTTTGTTTTGATAGAAGACTTGGCCTAAAAATATCAACGTAATTCCTATTATTTTTATTAGAGAGAGTAATATTGATAAAATTAGTTCTCTGTGGAGAATTTGTAACCTAATGCTTACATGGTTAAGATAACTTGTCGTTTGTCTCTTATTCTTTCTTTCCCTCCTCTTTCCCATCCTACATCAATTGATATTTGAGCAAACCCTGATCCAATCTCTTGCTATTGCTCCCCTTTATAATGTCACAATTCGTAGTCTGCCTTTTTTTAGGAGCAACTTTTCCGGTTTCATGGCAGTCACCATTAGGGCTATCAACTGATCAGATCTTGATCTAAATCCGATAAAAAAATTTGTGTTTCGAATCTAATACGTTTACCCGACAAATTTCAAAATCTTAATCTATATCTGCATCTATTAATAATCGGATATTCAATCCAATTACTTGATCCGATCTGAAAATTTGAATAACAATAAAATTTTTCAACAAAATTAATAATTTTACCAAATTCAAAATTAACTTTCAACTTAATTTAATCAACCAATCATTCTATTCAATAATTTCTATTTAATTGCATGTCAATCTCAAAATCTCCAAAGTCTCTATTAGGAATCCCTCGGTTGGAACAAGGTAAATGAAAAGCCACTAATGTGACAAGGATGACAACAGTGATAAGTAATTAACCTGCTTACTAAGTAAATAACACAATGGTGACAAGGATGTGTGCCAGCAAAAGGATATTTCTCATTTTCAAATTCCAATATATTAAGAATCCCTTGGTCGGAACAAGGTAAATGAGAAACCACTAATGTTAATACCTTCCAAAATGACTTAAAATGTATTGAACACAAAAGTCACAAGAAGGTACTTGAGTATTCTCCTGAAGTAACTATTCAAGATGACTTCCACCCTAGATCCTAAAAATCCAAAAATAATTAGGTGGTGTCCTTAATAACACATCTCCTACAACACATGGCATTTGGCTCACTGTTTGAAATGGCCTCATGGATCAGCCGGTTCTAGACAAGGCACACTGATAGACTAAAAAAAGTAAATAAAATAAATAATCGAGTGAAAAAATTATAAAGTTATTTGGATAAGGAGATACATAAGGTTTAGCACTATTTATTTTGTACTTACCGTGGCACATGACGGTCATAATAACGAGATAGAAAAGTACACATGTAATCAAGGGCTTGAAAAGCACAATTGGTTACGTAGACAATATAAAAAGCACAGAGACAAGATACGGATACAACCGATACGAAACAAAATATTTTAAAAAAGAGTAATGCTACATAGACTTAAAAATTAAACTTGATAATCTCAATCACTATTTTTTAAGTCCATATAGCATTGCTCTTCTAAAAATTAGGACAAAATGAAGACATGTTAAATAATTTATAATTTTATAAATTATATATATTATATTATATGGTGGTGCCCATATCAATAAGATGTCCATTAAAATTACGCCGGAAACCAAAAACATTCCAACAACATTAAACAGCTGGACGTTTTTACAGGGGAATTAGGTGAACAAAGTTGGGAACTGCGTTGCTGAGAAAGCAAATCTGGCTGTTTATTCATTTTTTTTTATTTGATTAGATGATGTACCATCACCAACTGATTTCCAAGGCAAAACACAATGTTATTTGGGCAATCAAAATTTTGGCTTCAAAATCGTTTCATGTGTCAGTAGCAAGGGCCCACTGTTGTGAATCTTTGATGAAGTTATTGGATCTAGTATTCCACAATAATCTTCAATAGGACACTTGGCAGCCCATTATTCATCATATTGATTGAATAAGTCATCTTATAGAATACCTCGTTGCCCTTTAAAACCACATTAAACTCAAATCAACACCACACCGAAGACATGATAGTGTTAATTGAAATGTTATTCAAGGTAAATTTCTTCCAGAATTTTATTCAATTCAAGATTTATTATTATACTATTTTTGGCCCATCAGTGAATTAAAAATCATATGAGGATCCCGAATCAACAAATAATGTAATCATTAACAAAAGAGATCACACACGTATTAATGAAAAAAATTGCAAATATTACAAAGCAATGTAGTGTAATACATAATTTTGTAGTAACACTAAAAATTAACCTCATTACAAAGGAGTTCTTAGAACATCCAATTGTTACAAAATTCAAAATGACAACTACTCTATGTATTTTTCCCTAGAGATTCACTCCACCAAAGTGTCCTAGGTAAGTCACAAGTTCTACCACTTTGTAGATTTAGATATCAAGTTCTTCAAAAGATGATATCTTTTCAGATAAAATAATAAATTAAATTATGAGGAAAAAAAAAGTATTTCCTCTTGGTCTTTTAAAACAAAAGGTAAAGGTAAAATAAAAGGGTCAGGTGTAATATTATTTTCATCATTTTCATGGCAACATCAATAGTAACATTTTTATTATTTTTAATCCTTAATGATAAAAATATAACATAACTCGAGAGTACAATTTTTTTCTACTTTTCTATACGAAGTAGAGAGGAGGTAAGGGAAAATTGAAAGCTTGCTTAAGGGAAAAGGTTTTTTACTTTGCTCGAGTCAGTTTTACTCTATCATGATGTTGATGCAATCTTGTTGTGATAATATACGAAACTTATTTAAAAGACGAATTAATGTATTCACTGCATAGAAAGGGAACAATCTAAAACTTTTAAATTTTAACTATTGTGATTATGTTATGAAAAATGCTAATAAAAACCAAGAAATATATTAGTATTATCTATATTATAAATTGGATGTACACTGAATATTTATTTTTTGAAGTATAAATAAATGTATAGATATAGATTATTTATGTGGAAATGAAAGTATATATCAAGGGTTATTTAGATATTTAATTGGTTTTGGGTAATTAAATATATATTAATATAGTTGTCTTTAATCATTTTTATAGGGGTATAAAGTATATGAAGGGTTATTGAATATTGAATTGATATTGAGTAATTAAATATATTATGATATAATTGTCTTAAATCATTTTTATAGGGGTATTATGGTCTAACAAAAATTTTTCACTTTATAGATAAAGCACAATAATTTCCTTTAGTTCACATTTATATCAAGCAACAATGGCAGCATTTCTACCTTTAGATTCACCCCCAAAGCTGATTATGTAGTTCTACAATTGTTATTTCATTAAACCATAAACTAAAATTTTCACACAGATCCTGAACTCCATCCAACTCAACAATTACTTCCAAAACAGTATTCAAAACTCCCAATTAATCATTCAAATACTTCAATGTTTGAACTCCACCAATGTATGAAAAATTTATAGTCAATCAATATGCCTAGCGAGTTCCAAACACTTACCTCAATAAAATTCGACAAAAAGCAAGATGGGGTAATCTTGGGCGGCTTGTAAAACGCGAGCTTCACCAACTCCCTCAACTTTTCCGGCGACTGCGCCAACAGAATACTGACAGCCTCCTCCACACTCTTCACCCTGAACATCCCCTCCTCCAAATCCTTCTCCTCCGCGCACACCCCGGCACAACCTATCATCACCCTCTCCTCCGTTTCTAGAAACTGCGCCGCCAGACTATACCCAACAAACCCAACGTAGCTCAGCCCCATTGTTGGGATTTAACACGCTTTAAACCCATAGACAAACACACACAATCGAAGAACAAACCAATAACATAAAACAATAAGAAACAAAAAAGAACAAGATACAAAGATTTTACGTGATTCGACAATTTTCTTACATCCACGAAACTGCAGGGATTTCACTATTGAGAGAGTGGAATACAGAGGGCGGCTTTCAATTACAATCGAACCCTAAATACCAAAGTAGCGGTTTTTATATGTCCTGTGTACCAGGCTACAAAACAAGCTCAAGCATTCGCTCCATGGACTAAGCCTCAAAAAGTTTTCCATTAAAAATCACACGACATTATTTTGGGTTGGGTCATCATCCGGATCAACACACAAACTAGACTCTACAAAAGGCCCAACAATTCTCCCACTTGAAGACTAGTTCAAACACCAACATCAACTGCAATCCTCCCAAAAATAGTCCCTCATTCCTGCAGCTCATCCTCTTGCCCTTAAGCTGAGAGACCCATAGAAGCTAAACAAGACTTCAGCTTCTTCACAGTAACCACTTTTGTGAACATGTTTGCCGGATTATCCCTTGTATGAATCTTCTCCAAAGTGAACTGCCCATCCTCCAACAAAGAGTGAATAAAGTGATATTTTATGTCGATATGCTTGGTCCTAGAATAAAAGTGTAAATCCCACACTTTTATTATTATATATATAGCAAGTAATTATTTCTTTTAAAATGTTAATATGGTAAAAAACTCGAGGAAATAATAGTTAAAACTTAGTTTTAGCTTGTAAATATAGGAAATCATTTGCAATAGAACTTATACCAACTATGTTTGGTGTACAAATGTATGTTATGGAAGTTTGGGTTGGCTTTGAAAGAGTTAGAAATGGATTGAAAATGAAAAACGGGTGAAAAAGGCAAAAATTGGACAAACGTACGGGTACGTCGAACTCCAGTAGCTTATACGTACCAATACGCGTATTGGTACTCCCATTAAAAAAAAATCTGATTTCTTCAGATCGTCAACAACCGGCCCTCCTTCCACTATAAATACTTAAGGACGCCTCCTTTAGCCCCATTACAACACCTCTAACCCTAGAAAACCTTAGAGAGAAAGAAAGGAAGAGAAAAACACAAGATAAAAAGGGATTTACACTTCAAAGAAGATCAAAACTTCAAGTTTTTCAAAAACACCCTTCTCCACCCATTTTCTTCCATTTTTTCACTTCACTATCACTCAAACCTCTTAGAAACCCAGGAGAAGATAAGAAGGGAACAAGAAAAGGGAGGAAGAGAGTCACTAGAGCTTGGGTTAGCTTGGAAATTCGGATTCAAGGTAGGGGTTTCTTCTTATTCTGTTACATTGAGGCTAGGGCTTATATATATATATATATGTACTTCTTGACTCTAAATCATATATGTATGCTATAAAATCTTTGATTCTTGCTATTCTTGCAATTATTACTATGTTTTAAACAATGTTATGGTTGAGTAACCATTAAAGCTCTTTTTCTTATCTTCAAACCCTAGTTTTCAAGAGAAATGAGTTTTTCTCCTGATTTTTTCTTTGTTCTTGATTTCAAAATTTTAGTACTTTATATTGAACCACAAAATGGTATTTGTAATAATCTCTTTCATATTTTCTTAAATTGTTCTATTGGGATATTACTTGTAAAAATTTGGAGATTTTGGATTATGATTTATTATTGAGAAATGGTTGAGTATTGTATCTCTTGAGGATGTTTGTATGATCATGGGTGGCCATTGAGCAAGAATCGTAAAATGGGTAGATGTGTTTCTTACTCCGTGCGGGTTTGAATTTTTCTTACCACTCAAAGTGGGGTTGGTGCCTTGTGAAGACCAAACTACTATTTACTCACGAGTACCGAGGCTGAGGGTTAGTATACTATTCCTGGGTTAGATTTGTCACTGCCATGAGTTAGTATACGCCCTTCCTAAAGGTTGAATATCCTTGTAAGAATTTGGGTGTGTGTGTGTGAGCCAAGATATTCTCGATGTGTTTATTTATGCGATGTTTTACATCAGACTTGAGATACAGATACATGTGTGGTTGATTATATATGGTGGGTTGTGTCCTTGTACAAATGTTGGAAATGGTTTATTGTTGATATGGCTCATTGTTGGAGCGGTTTAAAATTGGAATGGTTTATTGTTGGAAAATTCATTTTACTGTTCATTTAATTATTACTATTATGTTAACTTGAGATCTATTGAAATGTTTCTGTTTTCTTTCAAAATTGATATATGATATTTGCGAAATGAGAGCGACTTGTTTTAATCTGTTTTCTAAACCTTGTTCAAGTTAGGAGGATTTTCCTACAGAGCTTAGTGCTCACCCCCTACCAACAATATTCTTTTTAGATTTTGGGTTAGAGGAAGATCATGGAGTTGACGAACAAGTGCTTTGGGAAGCTCAAGGTGATGAGCAGGTGGACCCAGAGGGGGATATCTAGACTTGTTTTGTTATGTTCTAGACTAGGAGACTCCTTTTGAGAGAATTTAGAAATCTAAGTTTTTATTTTATTTTATTTTGCTGCAAAGTTATGTTTAATTATTTTGGATGTGATTTCCATAGTTTGACATATTCTTTTGATATTATGGTCATGATTTGACATATTCTTTTGGGATGATGTAGTAGATATTATATATGATGAATGAAAATTTTCTTTATTGATGAATTTTATTATTTACTCTCATGATGTGAATGGTTTTATATAATAATGTCGTCCAAAGTGTAGTTTGGGGCGTTACAAAAAGGTTGCATTCTTCGCCAGATGTATCGCACTTTAATTATCGCTGAACAATTTGCAATTGTCTTGCTCCTTACCCAACTCTTTCATGAAGCTTCTCAATCATACCATCTCCTTGCATGCCTCCGTGACTGCAACATACTCCGCATTTATTATCGAAATAGTCACTATTTTCTGTAGCCTCAAGATCCAACTGAATGCTGCATTACCCAATGTAAAAACATACCCTGTAGTGCTCTTCCTACTGTCAGTGCCCCCTGTTAACTCAGAATCTACAAACCCTTGCAAACAAATATCAGAACCCCCAATATGCAAAGCCAAATCTGAAGTACCTCTCAAGTAGCGCAGAATCCACTTGACTGCTTTCGAATGCTCCTTACCTGGATTTGCCATGAACCTGCTGACAACTCCCACTACATGAGCAATATTTGGCCTTGTATTAACCATGACATACATCAAACTACCTATCGCCAAGGCATATGGAACCTTTGCCATATAGTTCTGCTATTCATCTGTTACTGCACACTTTTCCTTCGAAAGTTTGAAGTGACTTGTCAAAGGTGTGCTAACTGGCTTAGCACCCTTCATGTTGAACCTTTTTGGCACCTTTTAACATACTTCTCCTGTGAAAACTTCAACTTCATGTTTTCCCTATCCCTACTAATTTGAATCCCAAGAATTTTCTTCGCAGAGCCCAAATCGTTCATTGCAAACTCCTTTGACAGTTGTGCCTTGAGATTAACAATCTCATTCATGCTTGAACTTGCAATAAACATATCATCTACATACAACAAAAGTATCAGATATGATGTACCAAGCTTCTTAATATAACAACAATAGTCCCCATGACATCTACTAAACCCCGTAGCTGCCATAAAGGTATCAAACTTTTTATACCATTGTCTCGGAGCCTGTTTCAACCCTTATAGATTCTTTCTCAACTTGCACACTTGATTCTCCTTGTCTTTCACAACATAACCCTCTGGCTAATACATATAAATGTCCTCCTCCAAATCCTCATGAAGGAAAACAGTTTTAACATCCAACTGCTCTAAGTGCAGGTTCTCAACAGTCACAATATTAAAGACGCATCTGATAGTAGAAATCTTAACAACAGGAGAAAAGATTTCAGTGCAATCTATTCCTTGTTTCTGCTCAAAACCTTTGACTATCAACCTTCCCTTGTACCATTTGCTCCCATCAAATTCTTCCTTAATCCTTTAAACCCACTTGTTGTGCAAAGCTCTCTTCCCCTTTGGCAATTGAACCAATTCTCAAGTCTGATTTGATGAGAAAGAATCCATCTCATCATCCATCACATACTCCCACTCTTTTTTGGATTCAACCTGCAACGCTTCCTCAAAACATTCTGGTTCGCCGCTATCAGTTAATAACAGATAATACAAAGATGCAAAATAACGTGCTGGATGTTTTACTATACATGTAGTCCTTCTAGGAAGAGGAGTTTGTGGATTTGACAGTGGAGTAGATTGTGTATTAGTATCGTAAAGCTCTAAGACATTTCTGTTAGGGATCCCCTTAAACTCTACAAAGTTTGATTTTACCTCAACCTCCTTGGATTGACTTAGTCTGCTTTTATACAAAACTGACTCATTAAATACCACATTAATGCTCCTGCATGTTTTTCGATTCTCAAAATCATACAACCTATACCCATAGCTATTAGTATCATAGCCTATGAACACGCACTTTCGAGACTTACCATCGAGCTTTTCCCTATTCTCCAATTCTAGATGCATATAGGAAATGCAACCAAAAACTCGTAAATAAGATAAATTTATCTCATTGCCTATCCAAGCCTCCTTTGGTAATCCATAATTCAACAGAATTGAAGGCCCCTTATTGATCAAATACACAGCAGTATTTATTGCATGCCCAGAATTGCTTGAGTAACTCAGCATGTAACCTCATGCTCTTTGCACGCTCTAGGATTGTCCTATTTTTGCGCTCAGCAACTTCATTCTGCCTTGACTTTTTGGGACCGTTTTCAACCTTCGAATCTCATTTGTAGCACAATAAGCCTCAAACTCACTGCTACAATACTCGCCACCATTATCTGATTTTAGGCACTTTAATTTCATCCATGTTTCATTCTCAACTAATGTTTTCTAATTCTTGAAAACATCAAACACATTAGATTTATGCTTAAGGAAATAAACCCATAATTTTCTAGTAGCGTCATCAATGAAAATAACAAAATAAGATGAACTACCAACATAAGATACCTTTGA